TGTCCCTATGCCCAGACAGCAGTACATGTGATATGTAACCTGTGAAAAAAACTGCTTCAATTGGTCCCGCCTACTGCCTGTATTTCAATCTGGAAAGAATAATTCGGGACGAGTCAAAACAACCAATCACAGCCAGAGGAGCGTCTGATGGAGTGTCAATCACAGCCCCCCCCCCACCCGCTTAACCTGCCGCAGCGCCCGGCTGCCGCAGTCAGGAGGACGCGCGTGGAAGTCATGTCGGAGCGACAGCCACCGCAGAAAGAGAAACTGCCCTTACTGCCCCTGCCGACAACTGCTTACACGGCAAACTTCGGTATAACCAGCATCTTATATCTAGCTGCTTGGAGGTGAGTGTTATCGCTCTTACAGGTTCACACTCCATGCCGCGTACGCTGCTTGGACGCTTCTGGTCGTATGCGGTAGCCGCGCAGATGCTGTGAGAGGGGTGGGGCTTGGAGGTGGGGCATGAGTGAAGCAGAGAGGGTGGGGGAGTAGCGTGAAACCTGTTTTTCTTCAAATTTTCAGTCGAAGTCTGCTCTCTTCTCAATGTTACAGACTGCAGCTTTAAAGCCTTGCAGGGCAGCATAAAGCCCACTGCTCTCATTTAGTCATAAAAAAGAAAAAAACAAGAACAAACTGTCTGTTCAGGTGTTTTATAAAATATGTGAATCAGGAAATTGTCTATCTACCAAACTGAGGGATTGTTGTTCTCTACTTAAGAAAACATATTAGATTTTAAAATGGGAAAATTTTCTATTTTTTTAATATATGTTTTTATTTAAAATGTATAAAATGGATGCATAAACACCTTTCTGTTTAAAGTAACAGATTATAACTAAAAATGTCTCCGGACCTTTACGTGTTGTTGATTTTCTTTATTCGGACCCTGCTGATTTTTAATTGGTTACCCCTGGTCTAGTAGATGATAGTGGATGCAAAATTTCCCAAAATGCACCTTGAAAAGTAGTTTGCATCAATGGTCACTAGATGGGCAGATATATCCCAGAATGCTTTGAAAGGGTTCCCCCCGCAAGGTATTAGGGGATTTTGTTGTGGGAGCGACAGAGAACAAAGATGGAGCCGGGAACATGCAGGGAGTCAGAATCACGTGACCAATGGGGAGCGAAAAATAGTGTTCATTTGGCAGAACAGGTAGGTAACTGAGAGCATTATAAAATCCCAGCTCTATATAATGATTAAGGGGTTAGGGCGGACATCACTAAACAGGCACAGTGACTCATGCAGCCCACTGAGAAGATTGGACACACCTTGATTTAACAAAAACCTTGGGTGACATTATCATTTTGTTCTTGTGGTACCTTGTTTTTATCATTCTGTTCATATGTGTGTGTAGGTATTGTATGATTTAGCATTTAGCTCATTCCAGTCTGAGCTGCACTTTGTTTCATGCAGAGATCTGCTGCTGTAATGTGTAAATATTTAATGTCCAATTGATTGATCTTGCAATTTATGGGATGCAGAGGCTGAAACCAAATTTCCTCTGTGGAACATCAAAGTACACCTTACCTTTAGTCACTGATTATTAAAGCATCAATTTAAAAAAGGAAAACCCTCCCCCTGAAAAGGAATACATAAAGCTCAGATTATTGCCAGACCTTTATATTCATTTAAATGTGATGAGAAAATGAAGCAGAGCAGAAGAAAACCAATGAGAAATAATCCAGAGCAACTTATAAAGTAGTGGAGCCGTCGTTCACCCTAGTTAGATATAATAGAAACAGAATGGAAAAATGTGAAACCAACTGCTAATAACCTTTTTGAAGGGGCCTAGTCAAAGTCTGGACAGAAATCCAATAGAGATGCAATAATATGACATTAAGCAGGCTGTTCATGCTCATAAACTCCCCCATTGATGCAGATTCATCTATGCAAGGAAAAGTGGTACCAGATTTCTCCAAATTATTCAAAGATGGCAGCCAATTTTCTCTCAGAAAGGTCCAGGCTGTTTTAATTTTTCCTCATAAGTGACGAAAATGGTATTTATGCATGCTTTCATCAATTCAAATTTGATGATAAAAAAAAAATGAGGGTGTAACAAAAATAACATAACGGAATTCTGTAAAATGGAAAACCCTTTTTTTCCAAGTTCTTCCAGTCATCCATCTTTGTTTTTCTATCCACTGAGGCCTCAGTGATCACCGTACCTTTATTATTATTTTTTAAACCCTGCAGAAGTGTTCTTTAAGTGGTGCTCAGTGAAACTAAGGTTCCTCTATCATTAAAATCAAAGCCACCTTACAGGGAGATTGGAGTAGAGCCGATGGTTGAGATCTCTCAGTAACTCTCCAGTCAAGAGCAGCTCTAAATGCAGAGCCACGGCTGTGCCAAATACAACACCATGTGACTCTGCGGCTTGTGTGTGTGTTTTACTAAGAGATTGCATTTAGCTGCTACTTTGTGTCTTCTTCTGGTTAATTAATCTCTTTTGGGACAGGCTGAAACACCCAACAAGATACGTGCAATTAGAACAGGACATTTTTGTTTCTACGGTCCCTCCTCTGTTTTACATCATTAATTAAACAAGGTTAGCCTTTTTCCGTGTCTTCCACAGGGCGATGCGGAGCCCCCATGCCAGGGGAGGGCCTACCCCGGTTAGAAACTAGAGAGGGCACAGCAGCAAAGTCAAACACGGCACCGAGGGAATACAGAATTATGCCGAGGCATTTATCCTACTCCCTGCATGCGGCAATGCTGGCTCTCATTTAGTCGGTACAAATGGGGGGCATTTCTGTGAAATCTGGTTCAGTTGAGACAACGTGCAGCAGGTTAAAGTATGGGGAAACAAGCCTCTCCAATGAGGTTGTAGCCACTTATTGCATCTCACAAATCAGCTTGGTTTATTACTCCTGACATGTATTATCATTTCCATGACCCCTTTTTCACCTTTTCACACTCAGCATGGAGTGAGGGCAGAGTGAAGCCACATGGCGTCACTGACCTTTTCACCTCAGGAAGATGACAAGGCCTCTGGAAAATAAAAATTAAAAAATAAACCAGGAAGATGATCCCTGGAGGAACAGCTCCGGCTTAACACATCCAGTCTAATACCCATCACTCCAGGACACCCATGCAGGGGAGGGCTTAGGTACAGTCACTGCACTAAGGCAGATTTCTAATTTTAGGAGAGCCAGCTTGTAAACTAGGTTCCTTACTTAAAGTCAATAAATAACTAATAGAACTTGGATGATTTAAAGTGCAAAATATTAAAATTAAAGCCACATATTAGTATATTTCTACTTAAAGCATCTAATATTTCTATTAGAAATAATATATATCTTTTTTCAAACAGAAAATATCCCTAGAAGGCCATAAATGAAACAGCAGCGGCAGTAGTAAAACAAAAGTGCAGTTTTAATATCTGGAAAGGTAAATGATTGGAAATGTTGATGTCTCACATTAGGCCAGGTCTGTTCAGATGAGACCAAATGTAAACATTCCGGCATGAGGCTAGTCAGAAATGATTGGCTGGAAACCTGTTCACAGCTGCAGAAGACTTGAGAATGGAGCAGTGCAATCATACATATCAAGCCACATTGGTTTAGTAAAAATGGCCTAGTCAAAGTCCAGGCACAAATCTATCCACAAACCTAGGGAAACTATTTATCATATATACTCTTCTGCAGTCTTCACTTAGGTTGAGATTCAACCTGAGTTCCAGGCTTATAGGGTAGCACAGACAAAAGCCTGGTAATGCAAAAAAACATGCAAATTAACTGAAAAACAGGTCCAACCATTAGTAATGGGGAGAAGTTGAGGTTGTTGTTGGCCTGCCAGCTGAACTGAAACTGGCCCATGCCTTTGCAATGGGGAGCCGTTAGAGTCGTTATTGGCCTGGCTTAATAAGCACAATGTTTTGACCACCTGCATGGCGATGATTGAGATTATAGTGGTAAGGAATCCACTGTAAAGTTGCATTGTAGGTTTTTGAGAGCTGAAACCTGAGAACATTTTGGTGCTAAAAATAATTTCCTTTGTCCTTAAGGTGTAGGTGGACAGCAGAGTCGTGTCCGGAGGAGGTCACTCTCATGTTGAGCCATGCATCGGTTCAGAGGTTGTTTGGTTTCTCCAGTATAAAAGATCAGATTAACTTTTTTTGGAATGACTAAGACCTGGATGACTGAGAACCTTTACCAGCATTTTCACCATTAATTGGTCTCATCTGTAGGTAATGAAGAACACAAAAGGCTAAAACTGGCTCCTGAAATCCAGTGTGGCCTAGTTTTAGTTTATTTCACAACCGTTTTGGCAATTAATAACAGACAGGTTATATTCTATCATCTCTTGCCAAGATTGGAGGGTTCTTCAATAGGGACGATTTTGGCTAAAATACAATGAATGATGAATCGTAAAAGAGGTGAAAAAGTGTGTAGGATTCCTTTAGTGGGGCATTGCAGACTCATATCGAGTGAGACACAAACACATTACCACAAGGAGAGAAATAAAATGTTTATTTTACCATCTGCATTTTTTTTCTTCTTTAAACACTAATAATAAAGTCCAGCGGATGGTAAAACATCTGAAAAATACAACAGATACAAACAATAGTAGACTCCCCCCTTAACATTTTGGAATCAATGTAGTGATAAAAAAAAAAAAAAATCAAGATTGAATCTGATTTAACAAAAGCAACAGTAAAGCTAACCTGTAACAGAGGAATGTGTTCCTCCACTGTCCGTCTGATGACCGTGGCTTAGTGTCATTACATTCATATGTAGCTTTGAAATACCTCCAATGTTAAATTGTGGACTAAGTTAACAGCGTTAAAACCACATTTTAGGATTTAAACTGTTCAGCGATGAAAGTTTGGTTTTACAAAAAAAAGGACGCACAAGGAATGAAGGAAAATACAAATAAAATAAAGAGCGCAAGTTTTAGAAAGGCATTGTATTAAAAAAAAAAAAAGATCTGGAAAAAAAAAGAAAAAAAAGAAAATCTGTTTATATATATATATATATATATATATATATATATATATATATATATATATATATATATATATATATATATAAAGTCTATAACCTAGGACAACACATCTTCCTTATGCATACTGTACCATCTAACAAGTCCCAGAAAAAGGGTTTTTGGTCCTGTATGAGTGTATATGAAGGAAATTCTGCCCGGCAACAATAAAACCTGCGCTACAGGATCCAGGTACTTTGTGCTATCCCATCAGCTCCCACGGTGCTTTCATTCACAGCATTAACTCACTATTAGTGTTTAAATTCCTTCATTCTGGGAGAAGGGACCTGAAGCTCTTGTTATCCAGAACCAGAACTTTTCTGATTCATATACACAGGCTGGATGTGAAACACTTATAATCTAAAATAAAATATGAGAAAATATATTGACTTTTCATCATTTTTTCCTCATAGTGTTATGATTACTCTTGTTCTAGGCAGAAGTCATTCCTGTCTAAACATGGAGTGAAGCTAAAAAGGCCCCGTCTAATGTTCATCAATAGTAGTTTATTCTACACACACACACACAAATAAAACCTGCTTTGAAAATGCCCCATTGGCTGAAAGGAGAGGATGCTTAGTCCGTCAGCAACCTTGGAAGAACTTTATGGCCACAATAAAGCGGCCCAGAGAGAGAAATGATCAGAGCAGATTTACATGATACAAAAGAAGAATTAACAAACCAACCAGGCTTAAGGGCAAATGGTTATAAATGGCAGAGTGAGAGACTGGTTTTGGCAAAACAGAAGCGTTTGTGCGGCCCTCGAACAAAAGGTTAATGTTGCTGGGTTGTCTTGTAACCATGCAGCAAGGAGACGCCACGTAAACATGGGTTTAATTGTGAGTGTTTGGTGTTTGCGGGGACAGATGTTGCAGCGCTCACACGCACTCCTCTGCAGACATCAGCAGAGGGTTGATGTACTCGAAGCCCTCAAACTCAGACTGGTCGATCTTCCTCACGGCGTCCCTAAAATAATACAGATAAAATAATCAGATCAGGTGAAGAGCTGGGCTGAAAAGAGGAGTTGTAAGATGAGGCAAAAAGGCAGAAGGTAAGTTACTCGTCATCGGGCGTGAGCTGGATGGGCTCATTGGTGAACTGGGCGTCGAAGTTGTCCAGTCCGAATTCCCCTGAGATGTTGGGTTTGAATGGTGGGACTACCTGCTTCTGCTCCAGCTGAAATAACAGGAAAATCAAAACACATCAAAAATAATGTTTGGGTTTTATTCATTTCAATACTGATTGTTAAGTAACTGGACTAGTTTCTTTAAATCCATCTCAACCACAGACTAATGGATTCCCTTAATATATATTACAATTTACACTAAGTAGCTGAAACTTTTAGAGTAGAAGACACATGAAAGGGGGGACAGGTTCCAAACGTCCGTTTTGGTCCCCTGCACGTTTTACTGTCCAAAAACAATTACGCTACAGTACACTACAGTACACTTGTCGAGCACTAGGACCAAGTGAAAAAACGCAGCACAAGCTGGGTTTGTGATTGGGTGGTTAACCCATTTAGGCCGGGAAAGCATTACCGCATTTCTACCATTCAAGCCGGGGGCGCTGTTGCTAAATTCTACCATTGACGCCGGGAGAGCATATAAGTCAAGCAAGAAGAAAGAAGTTTTTTTCAAGCAAACATGGAGGAGTTTGACAGAGAAGAGTTGTCGGAAGGCAGTGATTTTGAGGAGTGTGTCGGCTTTGATGACGGTATAGATGAAAATGATGACTGAACGCGCTGAACCAATCGACCGGGATTTGTGGTTAAGACATATGTTCGAAGACGACGAGCCGGACGCTAGCGACGATGAGTTTGAAGGTTTTGATAGTGACTGGAAGACGGAGAACTACCACCGCAATGCACGGAGTGCTTTCAACCGCACACCTGGAGTCAAAGTTGATTTGCCTGCAGACGCCACACCGCTGCAGGCATTTGAGCATATTTTTAATGAAGACCTTTGGATGCATCTTGTTACCGAGACGAATAGGTACAGTGACCAAACAAACCAAACTCCAACAAGAGCAAAGATGGCAAAGTGGTCACCCGTGACTGTGACGGAGATAAAGACATTTATTGGGCTGTGTATGGGCATGGGACTTCTTGTGTTGCCAGTACGAAGAGATCATTGGCGACAGAGTAAACCTCTCTTCAGGACGCAGTTCCCCCAAAATATGTCCCGGGACAGATTTGTGGCCATCTGGAGGTAAGTTGTATTGCAATTTATAACACAGACATATGCATTATTATGCATAATAATACTGTTAATAAGTAATCATCAGATAGTTATTTATGTAATGTTTGTTCTTTATTTTAAAAACGTTTTATATTGCACATTCTCAATGAAGACATGATCACATATGGAAAAAATAAAAGGTTGAATTTTTTCTTTTTGATTACTGCTTTTCACTTTTTTTTTTGGGAAGAATTTCAAAGATAAAATATATTTTGAGTTCTATCTGCTACAGAAGCTGAGATATCAATAATTTACTAGGCGTTGACACAGTTGCTGAATTTACAAAAAAACTTCAGGTTTTAGGGGTATTTTTTAAAATCGGCCATAGGTTTTTAAGGTGTTTTTTCCAGGCGTTTTAGGCCTAAATGGGTTAAACAGGCTATAGTAAGTTACATTCAAAAATACCCCCCAAGAGCTCCCCCTGCAGGCCTACAGGTTAACTGGAGAGCAGAGCTTTGGATTTGAATCAGGTTGGTCAAAGCTGCAGGGAGGAGGGAGTGCAAGCTGATCCATCCAGACGCTCTGACCAACTGCTGTGTCTCTGCTCCAGACCAAACAGGGGGAAAAAAAGAGGTCATGGTGATCCCTGCTGAGCTACCCTGTCTGTTTGTCATTCCACAGCGCATGTGGGTCATGTGGGTCTGAACACTGGGATGAAAAATGTCCCCAATACTTCAAACAGGGACAGTAGGCTTTAATAGACTAAGTTAATCTTTGCCTGTTTTTCCTTCTTTAATTAGGCTCTTCTAACAGAAGCATTATTTGGATTTCTAGTGACAACATTACGCATTTCTTTGAAATCATTTCTGCAAATGTCTGAGCTGCGACACTAGTGGGAAGCCGTTTCCTTTTACTGCGACTGCTGTCATTAAACGGAAATCTTACTCGTAGACGGCATCTCATTCATCTCTGAAACAGATAACAGGAAGCCTTAAAATATCTGTGTATTTCTGCTTGCTTTAATGGTGGTGTACTAGCAAGGGATTCTAAAACTCCTAACCAGGGACTGACTAAACCCCAGAGCTTCAGTTAATCCGAATGAAATTTGATAAGTTTAAAAAAGGAAAAATATTTGGATGAACTGCAGCATTGGAAAGCAAGTGGAAAAAAAGTCAAAGCCTGGTTTGGTATCAGTGGCTGAGATTATGAATCACAATCTATGATGTAGAAAGAACAGCTTCTCTGAAATCTGGAATCTTTGGGGGACATTCAGTGTCCCTCTGAGGTAAAACTAGATTCACCAAGAAAACCAGAGCTCCACTATTTAGCTCTATATGGTCCCTCTCTAGTAATAGCTTCTCCTTCTTTGGCTAGAGCCTATCTCAGCCCATGTGTGAGTCATCCTATTTGCTGTTGTCAGTCTCTCTCCCTGACATGTTTGTCTCTGTCTGGCTGCTCTAAACAAGGACATGCGAATCAGGCCACAGCTGACAACTCTTGGCTTTAACACAGCGGCTAAACCTGCAGAGCACGACCCCGGGAGCACTAAGGTTTGACCCTCAGCTGTCGGTCTTTGCCCTACTTTCAAACAGGTACACAATAGGGTTTGAGAGTAAAAACACAATATAGTTGCATCTCAAACTAAAATGTTAAAAGAATAATTTACTTAATTTAGTACAAAAGTGAAACTCATTTCGATTTATTCGACTTTAACATTAAAATGTTATATTTAAGTACAGTGAGGATAAGAAAGACCGTGACAAAGTCGTCGGTTCGGAGGATGCTCTATCAGACACCTACATGGAAAGTTGAATGGAAGGAGAAACTGTTGCACCCGAACAATCACAGCTTAGACTGCTTATCTGACTGGAATGGAAAGTTATGCGAGAGAATAAAAACTGTCGTACAGATAAATGTGATCAACATGAATAACCACATCCTTTGAAGGATCATGAAGCAAAGCCTGTTCAGGAGTTTGGGGAGGTTTAGAGGGCATGGACTGAGCCTGCAGTCAAAAGCCAAACATCGTATTCAGGAAATAAACATCCTTACCTAGGTTAGTTATATAGCCTATTGGAGACAAAAAAAGAAGATCCATGCTGATCAACCAAAGAAAGTAAATAAAAACAGTACAATCTCTACGTTTATAATATAAATTAAAAAAAAAATTATTTAAAAATGTTGTTATAAAAAGGGAAAAAAAGAGCATACTATTTATCACAAAGTGGAATACATGGATTATGGCCGCGGTAAAAAGCTTAGATTTCAGAAACAATTCCAGCAGCTTTATGGTCTTAAAGAATTTCATATTTTTAGGCATCTGGTCCCCTTTGAGTTCCAGTGTGGATCTTGGATCATTTAAGTAAGACTGATTGGCTAACCAGAGTGTTCTTTGTGGTGTAAAGATGTAAATGGCTGAACTATTTCAAGGTGTAAAAGTAAACATTCATAGGTTATACAAAAGCTCAATATTTCTAAATCCAAAATTGCTAAAATTAATTTTTAATTTTTGGAAGCAGAAAGCGAGGATGATGGAAATAAACATTGCTTTAGATAGGTCTCTCTGTGGAAAATAAATTCAAATGTGATTTGATTTTAGTATTTAATCAGTGAAATAGACCATTCTAATGATTTCAGATGTCTCCTTAGATGTGAACTATGGAGGAAAAAAACGTGGAAAGACAGACGACAAAACTGTAATGGCAACCAGATTCACTCACAAGGTCCCAGTCGACGTTTCGGAAGAACGGATGGCCGCTGATGTCTGCAAAGCCTGTCTGAGGGTGGCAGCCCAGACGATCCTTGGGATCCTGTGGGAGTGAAGGCGAGAGGAGGGTGAGAGACAGTGGGAGATGACAGCAGGAGAGTGAAACATGTTCACCCAGAATGAGGAGAGTGTGATGGGGGAGAGGATTTGAGGAGAGTGGAATAGAAGAAGGCCCCTAAACCAAAAACTTTAAAGGAATCTGAAACCTACTTATAAAATTTCTACCCACTAGTTTATACAAATGTATTTTTAAAGAGTTTCCCTTAAAGTGAGTCATAATCTCATTTTCTTTCCCCGTTGGGTGATAGGTGACTGAGCTGAACACATCTTGTAATAAAAACAACCTTTTTAGTTTTTATTTTTAGATGTTGGACTTATTAATATATAATGTTTGACCTCTCATAATGAGCCATCAATACCACGTAGTAAGAGAGGCATTGTCATGTCTGTCACTTGTGGGCCCCACAGAGTTTATGAAAGAAATATTAGTAACACTGCTGGTAACAAGTATGACAAATACAAACACCAGAAACGACAGTTGAACAGCCTCTCCAACAGCAAAGGTGAGCCAACTCTGCTGCCATCGGCTGTGGTTTCATCCCCTCACAGACTAGCTGTTAGCTTCAGCCGCAGGGACCAACTAATCTGAATTTATACCAAAGGAAAACACAAAGAGAGCAATCTACTACAGAGAGGATAGCCAGCTGATGCATAAAAGAAAAAAATAACTTGAAAAAATATCCTACACTGTCTTTTTAACACTGCGCAGGGATTTGTTTACTACTATGATCCTGGTAGGTTCTCCCAGAGCAAACTGCTGTCAAGGAAGGCTTGGATTCCATAGAGGAGCCTAAGTGTCCCAGTAGGGGTTAGATGGGAGCCTAAAGCCTCAGGATGAATCCTAGCCAACACCTTATGAAGGTTTCTGGGGAATATTCCACTAAAACAAGACCTCAGGGCCACAATGACCTTTGAACAGGAACCTGCATCTGTATTGCAAATCGTTTAAACTATTCAAAATGTCTTTTTTTTTTTATATGATGCCAAACTGAGAAGCCTATTGAGAGACCACTTTTCAGTATATCAATTATTATGGTTCATCAATACCCCTCCCCCATACGTTGTCAAACACTGGCAGCAAGAGAAACGGCTACAATTTTACTCTAAAAGAAAATCTAAATGATATTATATATTTCCTATATTGTTTTTGCTGAACATAGTTTAAATGTTGCTATTAAAATGGACGGCTCCCAAACATCACTCTTCAATATGCGCATCAAATATGTATGGTAACATCAAAGTGTGTGAGGGAGGTGGATGGAGAAAGAGATAGAAGACGGGGGAAGAGGAACCAGGCTAACAGATGTAGAATATTGCAAAGCCCAGCAGGGGCAGACTCTGATTCTAGCCTGTTTAATCTCTTCATACCTTGTTGAGAAATCCTTTGAGAACGCTGGCAGCTTTGACTGACAACGAGCGCGGTATTCGGATCTGTTTTTCCAATATAACTGTGGAGAAAAAAAAAAAAAAAAAACAAGATGAAGAAAGAAAAGATGTTAAGACTGACACAAATTCCTCTAACTGACATGGCAGGTTATTGACACTGCTGCAGCTCGGACTCCCAGGGCTGAACAGGCTGCTCTTACTGCCGCTCCTGTCATCCATGTTGCAATAACATGTCTTGAATTATACATCCGGCTGCAGCTCCAACATCTCACCAGCTATTCTAAGAACACACACATTCTGAGAGCATATTTAATGATGAAATAAAGGGAAAACACATACTTTCACACATTATTCCATCAACAGATGGCATGTGGCTGGCACCAAGAGAAGCCGTTAGAAAGTTGTGAATAAAAAGGTGTTGGATTCTTCAGCGCAGTAGTTTTTTTTCCTCTTTCCTCCAATAATTAATCTTAGTTGTGCAACTTTCTGTGAGTTATACCTTGAAAGAGGTAGTCTTCTGTGTTTTGGTCCGGGTTGTCAGAGCTGCCGACGATGTCGAACGGCGAGCGGCCCGCCATCATCTCGAACATCAGCACGCCCAGCGCCCACCAGTCTACGCTGAACCCTGAAAGAAACACGCCGCCCGTTAGGGATTCAACCAGCAGAACAGGAATGCATTCAATAAATTATTCTATAAACAATCCAGTTCATGATTACAGCATCTGTGACTAACTGATCCTCTGGGTTTTAGGTACTTTTGCCATTGAATAATTTATATATATTATACACATATATTAGTACACAACGTAGAGAAAAATGCTATGGTTTTAATATTTCACATAACATTTGCTGTTTTAGTTTTCAGCCTTGGTTTCACAATTTTTTGCCTCTCGGTTTTTGCCAAGAATTTTCATTTCAGTGCATTTCTGGTCTGAATGCTGTAGGGCTCTGGCATGCATGTCTTTTGCTTTTTTGGGCTTAACTATGTTTAAACATGTAAAAATAACAAATAACTAAAACACTCTACCTAATCTCTGTATAATTCTGTATATTTGACCTGGTTTATCTTTCTCATCTACTGTTATGATTTTTCCAGCTCTGGCTATGACCTTTAGCATCTACTGATGTGAGACTCCATTTAACAGGATGAACATATGCATCCAAAGGGCCAAAAAAAAATGATGTTGCCAACATCTGTGCAGAACTTTTCCATTTTTCATCTCGTCTTAATAAAAGCCAAAAAGCACATTTTCAAATTTGTCACTTGATGTTGCAATAATATATAAATAATCATTCTTTATTTTAATGTAGACACAAATGTTCCAAATTTTGTGTTTTACCAACAGAGATTCATAGACAGCTCCTGGAGCACTGAACAGTGAAATAAATGGAAATTTTTAGACTTTTTTTTTAAGAGTCAGTTGGTTTTGGATAATTCCTCCTTTGTTAAAACAAATAATACCAGTTAGTGATGCCTTAGATGATGCAGAACTGCCATGTTCAAACAAAATGCCATTTAGTTAAATTGCTGCAATTTCTTTAAAGCTTATTCTAGTCGGCCACTGAGGCTCAGCTTAGTGTCGAAACATGTTTGTTAACAACTTGATCTTTCTGGTAAACAGTAATAAGAGACAATGCATTGAAAACTAAAAGGGATGCTTACTTTTATTAATGGTTTCTCTGTCATGAAAGATACGTGAGGTAAATCAGGGCTTTTTAAGCACCCCACCATTTTTTTTTTTTTTTTAACACCAAGAGACTTGTCGCTACGATACCCTTTTGGTTGCCAGGGAGTTTTTCCTATTTTAAAGTTATTGTTTAATGTGCTGATAATTATAGCTGTGGATTTCAGAGGAGCAAAGTGACATTTAACGGAGCAGCTGAAACTACATGCAGTTTCTGCTGTAAATGTAATGAGTTAGATTTGACTCATAAGTCTTTCGCCGGATATCTTCTAAAGTTCAAGTAGAAACTTAAAAGTTTCCCGATAAAATTGTTATAGTTTGAATTTATCTAGTTTAACAGCTCTTTTCAGGGTTTGTTTTTCCCCCTAAATGACGCCACATTTGTTTAATCTGCTTTCATCTTGTTTTTCCTTGTAACATTTCACACAGCACACATAAATTTCCAGCTCAATTTCAGCAGCCACCATTATAACTGAAAGCATCATTTCACAGATCTCATCATAACTCCACGGTAACTTTTCATGGGCAATCATCGGATAGCGTTTCTAGTAAGTGCCTTCCTCTTGTAATTCTTACCATAATCCTCTCCTCTGAGTATTTCAGGAGCGATGTAATTAGGGGTACCACAGAAAGTGCTTGTTGTATCGCCTGGTCTCAAACCCTCCTGCAAAAACAGAAAAGATTGTTGATGTGAAATAAGTAAACCCACACCTCTGGAGTTCTGCAGCTTGCTTTTATCCAAAGTGCGGCTCCATTAGTTCACTTGTTGACAAGGAAACCACACCTTGCACATGCCGTAGTCTGTGAGTTTGATGTGTCCCTCAGAGTCCAGCAGCACGTTGTCAAGCTTCAGGTCTCTGTAGATGATTCCCCGCTCGTGGAGGTAGTTCAGCGCCAGACTGATCTCTGCTGAGTAGAATCTGAAGCAACAGAAAGATCACAAATCATCAACTTCAATGTGTCTTTGTGCTTATAAAAACAAAATAATTGCAATGTTTACCTGGCATGTTCTTCTGGGAGTTTTCTTTGTCTCTGCATGTGGAACATCAGGTCACCCCCATTTACATATTCAATAACAAAGAACAGTCTGAGGGGAAAAAAGAAAAAACATTTTGTTTGTGTTAAAATGTTTATTCATTGTCTGCAGGATGTATAGATAAAAACAGAACAGTTTGTTCTGTTTTGGGGGGTTAAACAGTGGGTGGTAGTTCTAAATATGATTTTATGATGGGAATCTCCCACAGTCTGAAGTGTGACCACAAATAGCTTGTTATATAGGGACAGTAATATCGCTACCACTTATTTAGTAGCATTCAATATCATCTGGGTACATTTTGAAATGACAGAATATTTTCCCTATATGACTGTTTAAAACTTTAGAAAGGTTTTGTTGTGTCTGACAGGGTCACAACTTTCACACCATACACAACTAAAAATAAACAATTGATATATACCTCAAACCATGATACCTAGAGCTCCACTTGAAGTTACAAAGAATAACCCTCTCACTTGTTAATTTTTCAAATGAATAATTGAAGTTAAAATCTAGTTGATCTGGCCTGTGTTTTATGTAACAGATCAATAAAATGGTGACAAACTTAGTGGAAGAAAAAAAAAAAGATGCATGGATTTCAAAGCTGTTGTTACAGCTACAAATATTTAAGAAGACGTGGAGGTTTAAAGGTTTTTCCCTTCACTGAAGAGGATAGAGAGCATCTTTGTCTAGCTAGAATTCAACTTTTTAACATCCGCTAAGATACAGATATGGTAACTTTGAGTATGGATCATGCATACTTTTATTCTGCTTATGTTTGGCTCCACCCTCTGACTGAGAAAATATGATGCCTGATGATCGGCACCATATAGATACATTTCTGCCACAAACAACTATGTAGCCGGTGAATGTCAACAAAGAATTCAGCAGACAATAGTGGGCAGTAGAGCTGACCAGGATTTATCCATCAGTTCATTGTTCAGCTAGAAATTGAACCTCAGCTCTTGTTTGAAGACTTTCACAGCTTCTAACAGGTATTCTTGCAGATTATTCCATATTTAACTCGATCCAGCTACTTAGCTTCCCCGTCCCCTAAGTATAAGACTGTCACTACCGTATCTGATGGTGTGTTTAAGGTAAAGCAAAGCATGTTTTACCACTAAATTATACGTTTTGGCCAGGGGACCTTTTTCCACATGGGTGCTTTGTGCATCAATAGTGGGAATCAGCAGAAAAAGGGATTTCTAAGGCTAGACGACACGACTTAGAAATTAGATATCTGATTTTTTTCCTACCAAATCTGAAGAATACATTTTTTCTCCTCACAAAAATGACAACTGGCATACAATACTTCCAAAAACAAACATTGTCTTTAATCATAATCCCCTCTAGGAAGTGACCTTAAATTAAAAGGCAATAAAATTAACGCTGTTAAACGTTCTAGTGAAACTATCATGTTTAACTACAAACAAAAATATAACAAAACATTTCTTTTTGCAGCTATTGGTTTCATACAGAGCCAGGAGGTAAGTTTATTAGTTATAGTTACACATCTGAGGAGAAAAGCTGACAAATAGTGTCGCTATGAGCTACAGAAGCCTAAGGAGTGGATTACTTTAAAAAAAAAAAAAAAAAATGCAGATTTTCCTAAAATTATATCTTCATAAAGAAAAAAACAAAGAAGATTAATCATTTTTATTGATTAATCACAAAGCCTTCCCAAGAACAACAGGCAATGAACATTGCATTGTTAGATTCGGGGGTAAAATAAAGGCAAGCATTTTTCTGAAATAAAGCAGGCGGTAACAAGGGTCACTGATGACCCTCAGATGACAGAAGGAATCTTACCTGCTGTCTGTCTGGAAACAGGAGTGGAGGCCCACCAAGAATGGATGATTAGAGGCCTGTTCAAAGACGTGCTTTTCTGTTTGGACCCAATCGATGTCCTGGAGGAGAAACACACAAAGACGCAGCCAAATGTCAATCAGAGATCATTGCGACATAGTATCCCTGAGCTAATAACAGCTGAATAAGCAGATTGCCCTTCTACAAAGCTCAGGGTTTGGTTGTATGGAAGGTGGCCAGCTGCAGTACAAAAAAAAAAAGGGCTGAGCTAAGAGAAGCGGCAGGACGACTCCATCGATGTTTGGAAGATAATACATCTGAACACGGATGCTGCTCAAGCTGACAGGGCAGGGACAGCTGAACACTTCAACATTGATCGAGAGGCTGTTTGTCAATTTGTCAATCATGCTAAGTGCATCTAATCAAATCTAACCACCCGTGATGCTGCTGGCTGCGCTGCTACATGTGTCGATGGATCAATTTCTGATGACATGATGGTTTATCTACACCTTCTTAGAGAGACTGATGGCTTTCAAAAGGTCTGTCAAGTTGAAGAAGTGTTTCAGACAGGATGAGAAGATGAATGTTCAGAGACAGAAGACAGATGTTCATCACGCAATGCATAACATTTTTTCAATTAGTTAATCATACCGAGTGACTTTTAACCTGGACCCCTGAATATCTAAGGGAAGAAAATAAATTATATATGCTACATTAGTGTCCATAATATTCATGACCTACATTCATAGCCATAATATGCAAAGCCTATATGTGTATCTATTATATTCATATTTTTATTTACACACCATAGCAGCATCCCACTCTGACTTGACTATTTTAAAATATGTTTTAAACTCTCATCTTTTCTCTCTGGAGTTTAATACTCAAAAGGGAATTGGTTTTGGTTGATTTTATGCTTCTCTTTTATTTTGTATTGACATTCAATTTTGTATTATTTGCTTTTATATATTTTCTTTTATCTTAGTGCATTTAATGGTGTTTTTGTGTTTAATGGTGTTTGTATTTCTGCGATAAAATGCTATATATAAATAACATTGGATTGGAAAGATTAGTCAAATCTACACATTTTCATTACCTAAACAAATAACCGCTTTGACAATTTCACCTGGCTTATATGAAGTAGTTTCAGCAAAAAAATATAGCGGTAAAATTAAAGGTGTAACACCCTTTTTTTTGTGTCCCATTTAACAACATAGTGGAAGAAACCTGACCAAGCTGCTCCAGAACAGGAGAACACTTGGTGTTTTTGGTCTCTCCAATGTTGTAGTCCACAGTTAAAAAACAAAAAATAAAGAACCTGAGTATTTAACCGGTAAAAAAAATAAAATAAATAAAAAATACAGAGCCGAACAGTTTAAAACATTAGAAATTGACAGCAGTCTACATCCACTGAAAACTATTTAAGACTTTCAAGAATTGCTGTCATTTATAATAATTTCCAAATTTCCAGGGCCTTGAACTTATTTATTTTCACAAATTCACAGATTTTCATCAATTTTAGGATGTGTGGAAACACTGGGGAGGAAGGAACAGCTTCGGAAAGCTTTCCATGAAGATAAAAAATCCAATTATGCTTCATTTCAAAAGTCATAAATTGATTAAAGCAGATTCATTGCAGAATGTTCTTGCAAAAATTACATGGCTTCATACCTGTTTTGCCAGTCATCATTTTTAAATTATTTTTAGCAAATTAAAATGAAACTTGTAGTTTTGTGATGTTCTGGGTTCTATTGTGAGCTATTCAAAGAGTTGTTGGTGTGCTTTTGAATTAATGTACTTTAGTCGGTGGCTTTGTTAATCTTTCAGGCCGACAGCTTTCAGTGTTGTTGAAATTTCTTTATATTTGGGCATGATCTGTTCATTTCACCTACTTCATGTTGTCTGACTGGTTCTATCTAAGTGATTTCTGGACTCTACAGGTAGATGCAATAAGAGCAGTGTGCAGCAGGTGATAATTAACTGACTGAAACTTTGGCGATAGTTAACAGCGGAGCTGACTTCCTCGTCATAAATACAACTGTCATTAGAAATATCTTAGATGTAGAACGTCCAAGAATCTGACTGTAATTATAAGTCTGTAAAGAAAGGTGGAGTTACTGGAAACATTTTCCAGTAAGAAAAGAAAGAAAGAAAAGCCTGTTTTGTTCTTGGTATCCTTTTATTACTATAAACATTAAAAAAGCCCTTCCAGGATCAAATACCTCGTCATCATTGACAAGCTCCTTCTTGACGACCTTCATGGCGTAGATGCGCTCTGTCTTCTTCAGCTGCACCAACAGCACCTTGGCGTAGCTGCCTCTGCCGATCACCCGCAGCAGATCAAAGTCTGCCAGGCCCAGGCTGGTGGGAGACTTCCCCGTGTCTCTACTGCTGCGCGCCTGGAGGGGAGGCAGGTAGCAGAGACGGGAAAGTGAGGGAAAAAGAAAAAAAGCAACAAGCAGGATGGTAAATCACATCATCAAAACAGTAAACAACCTAATATGATGATTACAAAGTCAACGGAGACAATCTGATATGAATCATTTCCATCCATCTACCTTTCTCAATCTAATTTCATCTGTGAAGTATTGACAGCGCTGATGATTTGGTTTGGACAGGAAGATGATTTCCTTTGGGTAACTTTGCAAATGAGATTGCAGCAGCTCCCACTGCAACTTTTAGAGAATAAATCTTTCTAATGATTTCCATGTGTCTATTAAAAACCACCATGCAGCTTGCATTAGGTTAGGCCCTTGTATTACAGTCATATTTCTCTGTAAACATGGCTCCCACTTCATCTTTTCCTCACCCGTCTATTTCACCTTCCCTCTAAATCCTCTCAGCAGTAAAATGATTTAACCTCCTTCCTTTACATGAAAACTATCTACAGTGTCTCCTCCTAATCTACTGAATTTCGTAGAATTGTATTTATTCCTCCCCAGCCTCAGCCCCACAGGTTCATCCAAACTAGAGTAACCTCTAACTCCATCCAGAGCCATTAATCAGCTGCTGTTGTTGGGAGCTGTGATAAAAGGTTACTTAATTAGCTCCACCAATGGAAATCAATACTGGAGCGGTGCGAGGGGGCCTATGTCTGCACAGCCTATCACAGAGGCACAGTGGGTAAACAATACGTACAACGTTCACAAGGAGACTACCACCCTTATTATGGATTATTTTGTTTCCTCTTCACGCACTAATCATTGGGGTTGCTGAAGATTTTTAAAACATCTGAATAAATGACAAGTTGTCATGTGTGTGACAATCAACAGATTTCACTCTCACCTCTTTCTCCTCTCCATCGTAACTCAAGCTTCGAATGGAGTCTTTCGTCTGAGGGCCTGATAAGGAAGGAAAGTGAGGAAAACAAGTAGAAAAGTGGCAGACAGAGTGACAGACAGACATAAGGAGAGGACGAGGTAGGAGGGGAGGGGAAACGAGTAGAGAAGGAAACAAAATAGGTGAGAGACAGTCACACGTTTTGTTCACAGCTCACTGCAATGCCTGGGTAATTTCTCACTTGGCAAAAAGAAATGTTTTTTTATATACTTTTTTTTGTTAAAAGAAAAAAATAGAAGGCTGCTCTGTTTGGGAAATATTCAATTTTTTTAAATCTGCACAACCCACCGAGGTGGTTTGCTGGCATCCACAGCAGAGGCTGGTTCTCTATAATCACTAACTACTGCTTCAAACTGGCTCATTTCAGTCAACATCTCACCCACCTGGCTGGGCTTATATCTACACATAAACCTCAGATTATAGTCCACGCAGCAGTTGTTGGTAATGTAGTCCAAATGTTTAGGTGAAAAAAATCTGATTATGTTAACGATTCAATTTTAAGTCTCTGTATTATAATTGTAATTAGTTAAAAGATAGGAATGTCACCTTTATTTAATAAAGTCAAAGACATACCAGTTTATTCATGTGAGGTTGATTACTTAAAATCTTCTATTAACAATCAAAGGTTTGATTATTTTTAGCTTAGAATTAAAAACATTCTCCTTCCAGGTTGTCATAGGAACGCATGAAAGACATTTATAATTTAACAAATACCATGACGTAGCCCATCTTTTTGAATTTATTTAGGATTCTAAATTAGTCTGAGCCTCGTGAGTTTATCTAAATCCTCTAAATACTCAACCAAGGTCAATTCACAAACTGGGTCTCAAGGTCGTATGGGTTCAATTGAAATTAGAATGAATAATTCATAAAAAAATGAATGCTCTATAGAATAACTATAAATAGTCATGTACTTGAAATATAGGTTTACTGCAAGTGAAAAAAAAGTGTTTCTTGGCAAATTTCATAGTAAAAAAATTTTTCTATTTAGGAGTGCACCGATTTATCAGGCAGCCCATCTATCAGCTTCCATGTTCTTAATTTTGGAGATGCGTGATTGGCCAATACTTGGATGAGAAACCAATATTTTCAGTATATCTAGTCTTCCTTGAAAGGTCTGAAATCTACCCACTGTCAATGCCTTAAACTTTAATTTATATATAAAGCAGTTATTTCGGAGGTTTTTAATTATTTCACAGGCAATGACTTTCAGTAAGATAAGATTAAAATATCCTGTGTTTTGTGATCTTATAGCAACTGACTGTGTAGGTTATCAAAACAAATATGCATCGGTCGAAATTGCAATCAACGTGCCAGGCTTTTTAAAGATCGGAAATAGGAGAACGTCCAGAAACCTGTAATCTGTGCACCTCTAAATTCATCTTTATGCTACATTCAGACCGCAGGCTGTAGAATCACCAGAAGCGGCAAGTTTACATGAAAAGTCAATGGTTGTCGCATATCAAGGTGCAGCAAAAGGTCCGGCAGCGCGTTTTGAGCAGCACGGCGGCGCAGCGGAAGCAGCGCCTAATGAGCTTCTGAGCATCTGAAGGGCTTCAGAAGCAGCCACTGCTGGAGTTGGAAATATTTAACTTTTGCTGCACACAGTTAATTAATGGCCAAATCATCTTAGAATGTCGAAACCTGCTGGCAAAAACCAGAGGCTGCTGGTGAACGGGATTCCCAGTGACAGAGCTTCGCCGTTGTACTGGAGTCTGAAAGGCTCCAACAGCGAAATAATATCGTAATCTGGATGAAGTGACTGCACTGATAAAGTTTTAAGGTGGACTTTCTCACTTAAAAATCATTATTCATCAAAACAAGCCAAGCGACTCTTTCCATTTCATCCGCCATTGTTACAGGCAAAGAAATGTAGGGTAGCTCCGCCCAACATGTATCAAACCCACTTTTCGACCATGCAGCTAGAGCAGCAAAGATGTTTAAGCCGCGCGTCAGACAGACTGGTACAAGCATCAAAAATGAAACGGCACGCGCATTTTCGTTGCTTCTGCTGCGTGCGGTCTGAAGGTAGTATTACAGAAGGTCTTTCAAAGTAAGTCAAGCAACTCTGAAGCACAGCCTCTAAATACTTGCTCGTTTTGCCTAAATTTCTGGAACAGTGTGGCACGGCATGGGGGCAATCAGTTAGATGTCAAGACAGACCAGGTTGCTCAAATACTGATACTTAGTGTCCAATTGATTCTCTGTGAAGTTTAAGGCAAAGCAGTTTGCTGAAAAGTCAGAAACAGCAACAGTTGTTACTAAAGAGGGTATTATTACTTTTGGCAATGTGGACAGGAGCCAAGTCCTGCTGGAAAATTACATCAACATCTCTATAAAACTTATCAGCAAAGGGAAGCATGAAGTGCTTTAGAATTTCCTGGTTTCATCGGCACTGACTTTGGACTTGATAAAACAAATGAAAAGAAATTGGGACTAAAGTGACTTCTAAATGAAGTGTAAAATGTACTCTTGTCCAAAAAGATTACTTAGGTTTCCTGAGCAGAGGTACAGTCCTTCTCCCTACTAAGCTCAACTGAAATGATTCTGAATTTCTCTCAACAGTGACAGAACACAAAGCCAGATTTGCAAACGAATTCCCTTTTATCGCCTTAAAGAACTCACTCATGATGCCGTCCACGCCCTGAATCACCCTTGAAACCTTTGAACGGGCTGTGCTTCGCAACCTTGTTAAATATTTTTAAACATTTGTTTTCACCCAATTTTACATCAACTTTCAGCTTCTTTAGCAAGAAGGTTTTGTTTCTTAACCTGCTTGTAGAGTTAGTAAACCTCTGTTTGCAGGAAACTGGAGCCAACAACAGTGGCAGTTTAGACCAGAAGGACCTAACCTTACTGAATCAGCATTTTATTGTCCTTATGTCCAATAAATTAATATTCAGAAATCAATGGCCGAACACATAGGTTTGTGTGTACTTACACTTAAAAGTAAAATATAAAACTAACTTTTTGATTTAAAAATCATTGAAATGCGACATCTGCTGTACAATAATCTAACTGAGCTGTGCCTGTGGAGATGTGAGTAGGTCAGACATTCACAAAGTGCGTCATGTTTGTGGTCCTTATTGGCGTTTGAGATGCTGAGCCAGAGTTTCACTTCAACAAGATCTAAACGTTGTGGAGATGTTTGAGATGTGCAAATCAACCAGGTAGAAAAAGTGTGCATTACCTTGATGTTCAGCTGGGTCTAGATGACTCGATGGTGTGCTGGGCATTATTGGTTCCTGGATGAATTCAACCATTAGTTCTCGTTAGGAAAAACCAATTCAGATCACCCAAGTAGAAAATATCACTTGTGAGCGATCTCACCTGAATCATCTGTCGACCGCACTCCACTGTTACCAGTTTATGGCACTTCTTATGTACCAGCAGTTTGCAGTTGATGCATTTGTAACCTTGCCTTCCCAGACCCCAGATTCGGTCTGTACAGATGGCACAGTGAGCTCGCTACATGGGAAGGTCAACAGAAGCAAACAATCGTCTTAGAAAACTGGTCGTTTTATAGAACAGTAATTTTCATCTGATAGAAGTTTCTACTCAAAGTGTATATAATGAAACTCTTACATGACAACCTCAAACAGAGCAGGACAAAAACTAAATTAGACCCATACACTAATTTCACCATCTTGTCTTACCCTGTTGAAGCGTTTGGCCTGAAAGGCATGGCCACTTGCGTAGTAAAGCTTCCTCCAACGTCGGGCACCGCGGCGATATATCGACTCTAAGAAGAAAGATAGACCACAGTAAATGGATGAATGTTTACTATTCTAACTGGTCTGAATGACAAAAAGTTTCCAGTTTAAACCATTAATTTAACCCATAACCTTTGTAGGATGTTTTTTTGAGCTAGCAACATTGGTTTGTAATAACAGAGCGATAGCAACTAAAATATTCATCCAGTCACTATTTTACCAGACTTTAGTTCCAGATTTTTCCTGCTGTTTTTACATACATGTGTGTACAAAACATAATTGAGTTTTATTAACTTGATATTTCACAAAAACAAAAACAACTCAGTGCTGAAGCTAAATACTGACACAGAAAAAGGTAAATACGTTTTTTATTGCCATTTTTACACATTGGGACAAACGGACATGAAAGATCAGCCCCAATTAAGATGTTTTACTGATTTTTAACTGACTTCAGCTAGATTAAAAAAGTGGTGAAATTAAACATTTCAAAAGTTGAGGAACACAAACGTTATGCTTCGCATTTACGTGGGACTGGAAGACTCATGAAGGTCTAGAAAAGCGTGTGAAACAACACTTTACCAAGTATATGTCTGGTCAGCTGCCAGATAAATCACTCAAAAACCAAAACAATCCATGAGCAAATGTAATTTAATTTTCAATGAGAAAAATGTAAGTTGTGTTGTAATACATCAAAGCTGAAAAAAGATAAACATATATTTATATACACAGAAGTACAAAATAAAAAAAATAGATAAATAAAAAAAGTTCTCCATTCAGATGAAAATGAAATTCCTTACATTTGAGATATATATATATATATACATATATATGTATATATGTATATATATATATACATATATATGTATATATGTGTATATATATATATATATATATATGTATATATGTATATGTATATATATATATATATATATATATATGTATATATGTATATATATATATATATATATATATATATATATATATATATATATATATATATATATATATATATATATATATATATATATATATATATATATATATATATATATGTATATATATATATATATATATATATATATATATATGTATACAGGTGCTGGTCATAAAATTAGAATATCATGAAAAAGTAGATTGATTTCAGTAATTCCATTTAAAAAGTGAAACTTGTATATTATATTCATACATTACATACAAACTCATATATTTCAGATGTTTATTTTGTTTAATTTTGATGATTACAAATGACAACAAATGAAAATCTCAAATTCATCATATCAGAAAATTAGAATATTACTGAAGACCAATAAAAACAAAGGATTTATAGAAATGTTGGCCAACTGAAAAGTATGAACATGAAAAGTATGAGCATGTACAGCACTCAGTATTTAGTTGGGCCTCCTTTGGCCTGTATTACTGCAGCAATGCGGCGTGGCATGGAGTCGATCAGTCTGTGGCACTGCTCAGGTGTTATGATAGCCCAGGTTGCTCTAATAGTGGCTTTTAGCTCTTCTGAATTGTTGGGTCTGGTGTATTGCATCTTCTTCTTCACAATACCCCATAGATTTTCTATGGGGTTAAGGTCAGGAGAGTTTGCTGGCCAATTAAGAACAGGGATACCATGGTCCTTCAACCAGGTACTGGTAGCTTTGGCACTGTGTGCAGGTGCCAAGTCCTGTTGGAAAATGAAATCTGCATCTCCAAAAAGTTGGTCAGCTGCAGGAAGCATGAAGTGCTCTAAAACTTCCTGGTATGTGGCTGCGTTGACCCTGGACCTCAGAAAACACAATGGACCAACACCAGCAGATGACATGGCACCCCAAACCATCACTGACTGTGGAAACTTTACACTGGACTTCAAGCAACGTGGATGAAGTGCCTCTCTTCTTTTCCTCCAGACTCTGGGACCTTGATTTCCAAAGGAAATGCAAAATTTACTTTCATCAGAGAACATGACTTTGGACCACTCACCAGCAGTCCAGTCCTGTTTCTCTTTAGCCCAGGCAAGACGCTTCTGACGCTGTCTGTGGTTCAAGAGTGGCTTGACACAAGGAATGCGACAGCAGAAACCCATGTCTTTCATACGTCTGTGTGTGGTGGTTCTTGAAGCACTCACTCCAGCTGCAGTCCACTCTTTGTGAATCTCCCCCACATTTTTGAATGGGTTTTGTTTCACAATCCTCTCCAGGGTGCGGTTATCTCTCTTGCTTGTACACTTTTTTCGACCACATCTTTTCCTTCCCTTCGCCTCTCTATTAATGTGCTTGGACACTGAGCTCTGTGAACAGCCAGCCTCTTTAGCGATGACCTTTTGTGTCTTGCCCTCCTTGTGCAAGGTGTCGATGGTCGTCTTTTGGACAACTGTCAAGTCAGCAGTCTTCCCCATGATTGTGTAGCCTATAGAACTAGACTGAAAGACCATTTAAAGGCTTTTGCAGGTGGTTTGAGTTAATTAGCTGATTAGAGTGTGGCACCAGGGGCCATCAATTTTGAACCTTTTCACAATATTCTAATTTTCTGATATGATGAATTTGAGATTTTCATTTGTTGTCATTTGTAATCATCAAAATTAAACAAAATAAACATCTGAAATATATGAGTTTGTATGTAATGTATGAATATAATATACAAGTTTCACTTTTTAAATGGAATTACTGAAATCAATCTACTTTTTCATGATATTCTAATTTTATGACCAGCACCTGTATATATATATATATATATATATATATATATATATGTATATATATATATATATATGTATATGTATATATGTATATATTTATATATATATATTTATATATATATATGTATATATATATATATATATATGTATATATATGTATATGTATATATGTATATATGTATATATATATATATATGTATATATATGTATATATATATATATATGTATATATGTATATATATACACACACACACACAAGATCTCCGGAAATTGTTATGCAGACTCATTTAAATAAATCATTTAAGCACTTTTGGTGTTAAGGTTTTAGCAATAGACTGATACATCGGCTGACTGATAATTTTATCGTTTTCTTTTTTTCTTGCATCCTTATTGCTTCATATGTGTAAAAGCCAATTAGGCTTTAATACAACTGATCGGTGCATTTCCAATTCAGATGGATGCTGCAATATCATTTACACAATTACAGATTTTTCAGAGATGCTTCAAATCAATAATTAAAATAGGCTGAAACAATTAATTGATTATCAAAATAATTGTCAACTAATTCAGTAATCGATTAATCGTTAACTGGAGTATAGAGACTCTAAAGCACGCCTTTAGCTGACAGTGCTGCCCACTTAGAGCAGTAATTATACCAAAATTGTGAAGAAAAAAAAATTTAAATATTTTGCATTTAAGATAAATCTCTCAATATGCTCTATCCACGCAGGGTTTTCGTTCACCTGGTTTGATTCTGTATAAAACCTTCTTTAAGGAACCTTTGCCTATACAATTATGAATTGATTAATCTAAAATAACTGATTCGTTAGCTGCAGTCCTAAATTGGATATAACCCCTTTGCTCATTTTCTTCTTGAGAATCTTTATTTTAGAGTGCAAGTTAAATGCATCAACATTTAGTAAGTTTAAAAGTGACAAAAGGTTTACTCACTGTCTTCCCCTGGACAAGGCATACCGGGCTTTTCAGGAACACACGGAAATACTGGAAGGGAAAAAAAGAATGAAAACTAAATAACACAGCTGATCGGTCAGGTAATGAAAACATACGAGCTCTTTATGATGCAGTCAGTTTCATTTTCTCCTGTCAGATTCAGTGGCTTTAGTTTGAATATGAGTGAATAAATTATCAATGTAAAAGAGCTCCGTATAAGTGCTTAGACTGATGCATTTGCATTTACTCTGTTGAAAAGGCTTCACACCTTATAAGCATCATGTAGAAAGGCTGCTTACTGGATAACGAGAAATCAAACTATATTACAGCAGACTATAAGAGAAAAACACAGTAACCTCCACCCGGAGCAGTGTGAGTCAAAGGGGAGGCGTGGGCAGCAGCCAACAAGCTTGCTAACAAGCGGACCTGGTGGCCCCCAGGCGGCACTGGCAGATCTTACAACAAGACTCCGAACCGCCATCGACGTGGCATCAAGTGAACTATTGACCTGACACCTCTGATTTGATCAAAACATCACATTTAGCCCCAGAAGCTGTTCTTCCCCCAGGTAACAGATTTCTTTAACACAGACAACATGCCAATCAAATGCTTCACACGCATAACTCTTAACCCCATAATAGCATGAGTTAACCCAAAACTTTAGATCCAAGAAGCCGCAAAACACTTGTCAATGTTGTTAGGGCTGATACATAGCAACTAAAGTAGCTTAAGGCTTACAGACAAGCAGCAGTGGAAGTAATTTCTTCACAGGTCACTGGAGCATTAACCCAATGTTTTGATGCTGTTTGTGCACACATGCAGAGACATAAGTTTAAGTCAGAGGGAAACTACAAGCAACCCACTGGATTTTCACAATAGATGGTGATTAACAGCTAAACATCCAGTAGTAGATCCTCATCTAAACTACAAGCAGTGGCCACTGTCCATTCAAAAAGCTAATCTGGATTATTGGTTGGTTTTAAATTCCAAATGCGGACACAGATGAAATCTAAAATCCAACCTTCTGAATACAAAGCTTTAAATGAATAACAACACTGTCAGAACAATGATCTACAAGCAAATGTTGGTCGTTTACAATTCATACAGATCACTTGGAATAATGGTTGGTGTGTCTCCACTCAACTTCGATTAGGACCAGGCTGGCAAACTGATCAGGAGCCAACATCAGCCAGTAAAGAGGGAGCAGTTTACATTTGCATCTGTATGTCTAAGCTTCCAAGGATGTGACTCTTACGGGTAACCTGGATTAATCTGATTGGCTGAGTAATGAGTAGAAAGCCAATTAGAGACCAGCATGAAGTCATACAGAGACCAAAGCCTTCTAAACATTTAAACACAGACATTCAGGCTTCGAGCCTGCCATTGAAACATGTTTCAAGGAGTACAAAAAAAGCCTAAGTTCAAACAAATGGGAAATGGGATGGGAATATGCAACCCATGTTTACTCTGTTGTTTTTTCCCCCTCAAATTTTGATTGTGGCAGCACAGTCTGCTGATAAGTAGCCACAGCTCTAATCTTCAATCAGAGCATCTCTATCCATTAAAGATTAAAGAATCAGTGAGAAATTTTAATAGAAAAGCAAATTTTAACATACTACAATGGTGTCATTTCTGGATGTCTAGAGAAAGCTTAAATAATAAACAAAATAATTAATCCACCCAACAATTTCTACAAATGTCTCTTTTCTTGTGTAAAATAAATGGTGTTATTTGTTTCTCAAAGGCTTTTATTTCTTATCAGTACAACAATGAAGTCTGGCCTTCTAAGCTTCAATAAGACAAATGCTCTGTTTTATATGTAAATTAAATTGATTATAAATGAGAATAAAAAGGGTAAAACTCACTGTGGATCGTCAGCTCAGAGTCTTTGTTGAGTTCATAGAGGCGAAGAGCTTCTTCCAATTCCAGCTGAGATGAGACAGTGCAGGGGTCACCTGATAGCAGAAGAGACATCGTATCATAATGCAAACACACGACTCAAGACTCCGTCTAAAAGACAATATAATCTATTAAAGGTCGTGTTTAACTGGGAAAAGAGACATTTTCTTAAAGAACAGTTATATGAGCCTAGTATTCACAGTGGTTCAGGACCCAGTTTTTAACTTAGGTTAAAGTTTATTTTCCTTTTAAGAACATTGAAGCTGCAACTCCAGATCCAAAACACTTCTTTTTCACAATAAAAAAAAAGAAAAAAAGAAGATAACACCAAGGTTATGACAATACATTTTGTAAACTTTATCGACTAAAGAAGGAGCTGAGTTCTGTAACTTTTAAACCGAGTCGCCTGATATACAGTATGTTTTTAAGCAATAAAAAACAAAAACCCCAATAGATTTATAAAATAGCTATACACAGAGTCATTCTGGGATGTTTTTGGTCAACTTTCACTACATGTATTAAAGACATAGAAAAAACTACACATTTTAAAATGTTATCCTGTCTGTTCATTAGAAAGCTGTAGCCTTCACGGTTACAAAGGTTGTAATGTTTCTGTGTTGGACTTGTTTTCTTTTTTTTTTTTAAGCTTTTTCCATCTCACGACTATATTTTCAGCTGGCTTCATGAAGCATATAAGGCAGAAAGTGCAGGTAAAGGAGCATGAGTTTTTACTACTCTGGCAGTGCCTTCCACATCTAAAGCATCTTCTTCTAACGTTAGGAGACACTACAGGTGTTGTGGAAGTAAACAACCCCCTACGCTACACATCAGATGACAGCAGACTGATGCACAGTGAGCTGTAGGGGTAACCATGACACTTCTCCCCAAACCCCCCAACAATCATACAGTCACTGTAGGAAACAATAAATAAATAAACCATAATTAGAACCTTGCTCTTCGACCAAAGAGCAGAATGATCAGCATGTCATCCAGCTATAGTTGAAATGACACATTTACATACAACTGACAGGACATATACAGGTGCTGGTCATAAAATTAGAATATCATGAAAAAGTAGATTGATTTCAGTAATTCCATTTAAAAAGTGAAACTTGTATATTATATTCATACATTACATACAAACTCATATATTTCAGATGTTTATTTTGTTTAATTTTGATGATTACAAATGACAACAAATGAAAATCTCAAATTCATCATATCAGAAAATTAGAATATTGTGAAAAGGTTCAAAATTGATGGCCCCTGGTGCCACACTCTAATCAGCTAATTAACTCAAACCACCTGCAAAAGCCTTTAAATGGTCTTTCAGTCTAGTTCTATAGGCTACACAATCATGGGGAAGACTGCTGACTTGACAGTTGTCCAAAAGACGACCATCGACACCTTGCACAAGGAGGGCAAGACACAAAAGGTCATCGCTAAAGAGGCTGGCTGTTCACAGAGCTCAGTGTCCAAGCACATTAATAGAGAGGCGAAGGGAAGGAAAAGATGTGGTCGAAAAAAGTGTACAAGCAAGAGAGATAACCGCACCCTGGAGAGGATTGTGAAACAAAACCCATTCAAAAATGTGGGGGAGATTCACAAAGAGTGGACTGCAGCTGGAGTGAGTGCTTCAAGAACCACCACACACAGACGTATGAAAGACATGGGTTTCTGCTGTCGCATTCCTTGTGTCAAGCCACTCTTGAACCACAGACAGCGTCAGAAGCGTCTTGCCTGGGCTAAAGAGAAACAGGACTGGACTGCTGGTGAGTGATCCAAAGTCATGTTCTCTGATGAAAGTAAATTTTGCATTTCCTTTGGAAATCAAGGTCCCAGAGTCTGGAGGAAAAGAAGAGAGGCACTTCATCCACGTTGCTTGAAGTCCAGTGTAAAGTTTCCACAGTCAGTGATGGTTTGGGGTGCCATGTCATCTGCTGGTGTTGGTCCATTGTGTTTTCTGAGGCCCAGGGTCAACGCAGCCACATACCAGGAAGTTTTAGAGCACTTCATGCTTCCTGCAGCTGACCAACTTTTTGGAGATGCAGATTTCATTTTCCAACAGGACTTGGCACCTGCACACAGTGCCAAAGCTACCAGTACCTGGTTGAAGGACCATGGTATCCCTGTTCTTAATTGGCCAGCAAACTCTCCTGACCTTAACCCCATAGAAAATCTATGGGGTATTGTGAAGAAGAAGATGCAATACACCAGACCCAACAATTCAGAAGAGCTAAAAGCCACTATTAGAGCAACCTGGGCTATCATAACACCTGAGCAGTGCCACAGACTGATCGACTCCATGCCACGCCGCATTGCTGCAGTAATACAGGCCAAAGGAGGCCCAACTAAATACTGAGTGCTGTACATGCTCATACTTTTCATGTTCATACTTTTCAGTTGGCCAACATTTCTATAAATCCTTTTTTTTTTATTGGTCTTCAGTAATATTCTAATTTTCTGATATGATGAATTTGAGATTTTCATTTGTTGTCATTTGTAATCATCAAAATTAAACAAAATAAACATCTGAAATATATGAGTTTGTATGTAATGTATGAATATAATATACAAGTTTCACTTTTTAAATGGAATTACTGAAATCAATCTACTTTTTCATGATATTCTAATTTTATGACCAGCACCTGTACTATAAAGTTTCAGTTTCATTTTTCTTTGTAAATACAGCTGAACAGCCGCTCAGACATTCAGACGCCGATTCTGTTTTTAGGGTTGATGACAAACCACTGATAAATGTAACAGGAACACAGGCTGTGACACATACTGGAAGAAATGTTTATATACCTTAATGTTTGACTAATTGCAAGTATGTGACATTCATCCTGCTCGGTTTTTATTGCAGTCTAGGACCTTTTGGAGTAATTTAAGAAATATGACACAGAATACACATCCAGAAATACCTTGTTTCCTGGTTTTTATCAAATTTAAAAACATAACGTCTTCTATAAAGCAGAATTCAACTGTATTTAAGAGGCTCTTGTGTGTAAATAAAAAAGTATTCAGTTCAGCACTCAGATTGGGAAACCTAGTTTATAACAGAGGTGCGTGCTACATATTATACTGCAACTGTGATTAAAATTGCTTATAGTGGGGTTAAAGAGAGAGTGTAGAGCAGAGCTTCACATCTCACCAACAGAATGTTTGAGATGCAAATCAGCTGTGTAGGAATGAAGACAGACAGAAAATCTCTGCTGTTTCGGAAAAATCTTCCAAAAATGAAAAAATGAAAAAATGAAAAGAAAAAAAAAGAGCTATGCTGGTTTTTATTTTGTCATGAATAGCAAACCTGGAGCTGAAGATGCATTTTAATTGGTTACCGAATTTAAAAGTTTTGTACTGTTACTGCCTTCAACCTACAAGAGAAGTAGGATCACAATCCTAGTGAACAAACAACGTTTTATGGACAGGCAGAGAAAACAACAGAGCCGCTGAACATGCCAGTTGAGGCGTTGGACACTTTTTTGACGCTCCAAACAGGTTTGATGTAAATGCACCTTTACATGAGACAAACTAAAAGGATGTTCTGATTTGACCTGCAGAATTATGAGAGACACAACCAGGCTGACAGCTGTCCAGCATGAGGATGTGGACACCCTTAAAACCTGACTCCTTAAAAAGCTGGCTGTTCACAGCATTGGAAAGCACATTAACAGAAATTTAAGTGAAAGGAAAAGCTGTGTTTGGGAAATGTGCACTAGAAATGGAGACCAGTGTCACCTTCAGATATCCTTTAGTGGAAGCACAGTAAAAGAGTTTGGAGGAGGATAACAGTGTGTGGACTGGGGCTCGATTCACTGCTTAAAAAAACAAAACAAAAAAGAACTTTGCCTCCAGAAAATTACCTACTTTAATTGTTTTGCTAATCCACAGATAACAAGAAAAAAACAACAACAATCTAAACTTTTAAACACCAACTCTCTTATTTACAATATCCTATCACTGTGTGTAACAAATCAATATGGTTTCTTGTTTTTATTGAATGAATGAACATGCATTTCTTTGCTTTGTTGCTTTAATGATTAGTTTTATCCATCTTTTTTAAACAGTTGTGATCATCATGACAGTGACTAGGACCCCCTCAGCACAGCAGTATCAAAATGTTTTTTAATGAATAAGGCAGTAGGAAAAACAGCCTGCTCTTTACAGTTCACTTAGGGAGGACCACCAAGCTCTGTTTATTACTGACACCCTAATGACTTTTCTGATTATACGTGGGAAGCTACAAGTGGGAGTCGGTCTGAGCCTAATGAGTTTTGGCAGCCTGACCTTCTGCTGGGCTGAACGACCTGATGGCTCAATCTTTCCTGTGACACCGTCACTGCAGCCTGACTAACAGAACAGAGTAAAGGGCAGAACGCCTCTGATCCCAGAACAGAATGAGCACGGCAGTAAGGATGTGCGTGTCTTTAGGTAATCCTACTTTTTATTAATAGGTTTACTTTAACATTTAAGAGTATGTGCTGCTGCAATCCAACTGCTGCTAAAAAATTTATTAAAAAAATAACATAACAAAACAACAGCTGACCAGGCAGAAATAAACAAACGCACCTTCCTCATCGATCCATTTCATGGTGAAGAGCTGGTCATTGTCCATTGAACACATGTCCTTGACCTCACCATAAAGACCCTCGTATGAGATAGACGGTTCAAAATGTGTGATCATGATGTCCCTGCAGGAAAATAAAAGAGAAAACGCTTTGTTAGTTAAGGTCATTAGTTGAACACAATCACATATATATTCCATCAGGATGGGCATAAGTAAAAAAAAAAAATGGCCAAAACTAAATTAAATCTGACCCTTCACTTAATATCGCTAGTAAAATTGAAAACATTAAAATCACTTTTTTCTTTCCTCTTTGTGGGTGGGTGCGCTGAAATAAGAGGAAAGTATACCAAGCAGATCCATTCTATGGTTGTGACTTTTCAATATGAGAAAATATTACCTTTCATACATAATAACACCCATCAGGCCAGGGTACACAGCTTGTTAAGAGCTTTTCTTTGATTTTCTTTATATTCTGGTCCTCATAGTGTTAAATAAAAGAGCCTTTAAACTGTGTAACTTGGATCAAACCTTAGGAGTATTTTTCAGCAAGCTTGACATTAGTTTGTTGGGAGAGTAGGCCTTCCATTTCCAATGAAACTGATGTTAACAGACTGTGGTTTGTTGATAAACTTTGACCTTTTCATCTCTGCCCAAAGCATTTTATCTCGAGGTCTAGGATCAGGGAACTAAGACCATAGATATCCATAATAAAGGCTAGATGTCTTACGGCGGAGTCTCAAACGGCATCACCGGCGGCCATCTTGCCTCAGGCAGGCTTTCTGTTGTGCTCTGTGGTACCTAATGTAAGGTGAGTGATCAGCACGAACACAAATACTCTTACCTCACTGAATTCTTGACGGATTTACAAACAGTTTGGTTTCTTACAAACATTATGAACGTGGCTATTATTCTTGATGCTTGAACATGTCGAAATTGCAGATTTTCTTGTCGAAAAATGACTTAATCGCGCAGCATAGTTGTGCATCACGGCTACTTGCGCAAGTTATCAAGGCTGAGATTATTAGTCAATTATATAGGTTTTACTGACACCAATAACGATTGTATGACAATTAATCTTTGGTGTAAATTACAATCTTTGTGGATGTGGTTGTAGTTATTAGTTGGCTAACAACAATAATCTGAGTGTTGTTGTATTTTCATTATTAGCCTAACGTTAGCTGGCTAATAAGAAGCTGCGAAGTGAGACTTAACGTTAGTAAGTTAGCAGCTAACGTTACAGTTTAGCTAGCTGCTAATGTTAACAAGCAACTTTACATCAGTGGAAGAGGCAGAATTTAACATGATTTCCAATCGATTTGGTTTGTCAACACATCTTACATTATGTTACAGGAATTTGCTGGGTTTATTAAAAGGAAGATGCCAGACTTTTGCTATGACATAATAGTATTACAAGACTGTTCTTGACTCAAAGCTTTTATAAGTTTGTATTAGTTTCATTTGGACAACTTAAAGATGGTGTTGTGCCAAACATTTTCAACTTTCCAGCTCATCTTCAAAGGGCATGTGGATCATTGAAATTTAATCACATATTGATATACCAATCTTATACACCGTGAATTGTTGTTGGTCACTTTTGTTTTTGTTTCTGCAGGTTATATAATGTGTAAGCAGGAGGCCTTGTGGACAACGGTCTCTTGTACATTACACAGAAGCTCAATAAAACCTTCCTTTTCAAAGGGCATTAGCCAAGCTATGTTTTTTGGGTCATTATTAAAATCGCTGTCTTCCATGTGTATACCATCACAGTAGTGTAGTTGGGGATTTCAACATGCTACATCTATATATACTTGTGAAGGGGACTATTGTACCAATTTTAATAGCAAATAAATGTCACTTTTATAATGGTTTAAAAATAGGAACTTTTGTGTAATTACCCCTGATATATAATCCGAATAGTCTACATGAAACTTCAAAGTGTTACCTTTAATTTGAAACCTGGATTATGCTTCTACACCAAGAGGTTGCCACACAATAAGCCTTTTTTGTCAGTATTTCATATTTTATTATAACAATAATATTCATATTGTAAAAGTATGTATGTAAATATAAATAAATTAGGACTGTGAAATAATTAATCACACCCAAATAAAAGTGTTTATGTGTATGTATGTATGTATATATATATATATATATATATATATATATATATATATATATATATATATATATATATACACACATATTTATATATATATATAGATATCTATAGATATATCTATATATCATGTTGCCATTCAGTACACTGAGTTTTAATAGCATATATTGATTTAACATAAATACCTTGTGCATGTGTATATTTATTGCACCTGTATGTTCTATTCAATGTTCTTTTCATATGAAATTCCATGGTTATAATTATTCATAAGTGTGCAGTATCATAACTACATGTCTGACTTTTGTTTAACAAACCAAACAGTTTGAGAATCGTTAGACAATTGAGAAGTTATGGTTATTTCTGTACATGCGCCTTTAAAACACAATGTTACGAATGAGCGAGCTGCCTGTGGCAAGATGGCCGCCACGTGCGGACGTCGACTCCCATTGGCCAGCAGCGCGGACGAGACATCTAGCCTTTATTATGGATATCTATGACTAAGACAGCCGCCTTTGGGCCATTTTTCTTTCTGAAGAGCCAAGCTGTAACTTCCTGGTTAATGTCTTGGGATGTAAATGCAACATTCTCAATGTTTTTTTTTTGTTTGTTTTTTTAGGGCTGAAACACTTAATCAGATTAATTGTGATTAATCAACAATTTAAATAATAGTCAACTAATTTAGTAATGGATTAATCATTAACTAGATTTTAAATTGTTAAATTTGCTTTTAGCTGTCAGAGCAACCCACTTAGAGCAGTAATTATAGTTTTTTAAAAACATTTTGCATTTAAAAATATGTCTGTCAATATGCTCTATGCTGAGCTCCTCAAGTAAAAAAGTTTAGCTTTCACCTGGTTTAATTTAGTAAAAAAAATCTTCTTTAAGGAACCTTTGGCTATCAAGTTATTAATCCAATAAATTATTAACAGATTAATCGATTTACAAAATAATTGTTAGTTGCGGCCCTAGTTTACACACCTTTATTTTGTAAAACACAACAGTCCCAAAGCGGTAACAAAACCCCAGCACTACGGTTCAGATGGTGTTCTCACATTTGTTAGATCTAACCTTTTCATCCCGAAGTAAATCAGAAAATGATTTAAGGTCTAAAATTTTATATTGAGATTTTAATCATTTTTTAAGCTGCTTTCAGAGTAACTGCTTCTTCCATCCCAGCAGTCTGTACAGGGCTCATTTCACTGTGAGGAAATTATGATTCCTTCTAGACAGCATCTCTTCACCTGGGTTTTAGCTTTTTTGTAACATTTCTTAATAAAAAAAAAGATCCATCTTTATGAAAAAGTACTAACCCCCTCCCGAACATCATGACTGGATGTTGCTATATCTTTGCTGTTTCCCATAATAAGCAGATTAACTTTGTGCTTTAAGACCCCTGATTGGGACCCACTGATGAACCAAATTCAAAATGGCTTTCTGGATGTCCTTCCTGACTTCCTAAAAAAAAAAAATTATAATAATAATAACAAACAAAATACAACTTCATATAGTTGTAAAAGCAAGAAAAAAAGAGGTTGTCACAGAAAAGGATGCTTTTCTTGATTCTGCATAGATTAACCAACTGGGAGCTTATAACGGCATGATATCAACACCTGGATTTTCACAAATGGTCAAAGTCATAGTGTATGTCAACTTCTGAATAAAAATAAATAGATAAAATTCTTAGTCCAAAAGTCACAGCTATCAACAAGAATCCACCTTTTCTTTCTTCTGTATGCCAGCTTCCTGGTGATTTTAGAAGTGTTTCAAAGATCTTATTTGTTTCTAAATATATATATAGCAGACCTTTTCCAGATTTATTCTCTTGCACAAGCTCTGAGGGTAAGCTTGGTTCATGCTTGACAAAATTCAGCATCTGCAAGTACTGAATTTCACATCTAGAAAAGGTCTTTAACTGCACGGACAGCACCATGGGAAAAAACACGGCAGACAGGTGACAGCTCCAATTAGAGTTGAACAGAATATAAGCTACAAGAGAAAAACAGCACAGAGTATAAAAGCTGCTGACATTGTGTCAGAGATGGACACAACTCATTTTAAAGCAAGACTGGATTGTATACAAGGGCCTTCTGATGGAAGTTCACCATATAAAAGTCCTTGAACTATAAAAGTATAAGCCAGAAATGAAATAAACATACTACATAAAAAAAATTGTATCCAACAAAATAAAAAAAGCCTTCTTTCCATCTTAGGTGTTAGAAATAACCGTAAAGCTTCAATCTGTAAGTGAAAAATAATTCCTCTCTCAGATTTTATGACATCTGGAGGAATTATGTCTTCCGACAGCAGCTCTGCAGTTCCCACGTTACTACCTTCAGAGAGAGGATGGCGCTGGTACATGCCAGCTTTTACAGGCCTGCAGGCCACAGTCTGTGGAGTTCAGGTGGCTGAGAGCCGATCAGGAATAACTGGGATTAAAGTGAGCACAATGAGCAAACAGATGGGTAGAAAAAGGGGATATTGTGTGAAATAGTGTTAATTTCGTTAACGAAAACTAAACGAAAATATTTTCGTCAACGCACATTTTTCACCCAACGAAAACTAGACGAGACGAGATGAAAATCCCCACTAATAAACAATAACTGGGAGTAAATCAGAAATATTTTTCGTTGACTAATAAAGACGAGACGAAAATGCAGTTTGGTAAATAAAGACTGGACTAAAATCTATGGACATTTTAGTTCACGAACAAAGACGAGACGAAAATTACATATTATTATTTTATGGTTTTTTCAAATCCTATCTCCTGCTCCGCCTCCTCCTTGTCGGCTCCCACACACCCACTTTCAAACCAGGAGCGGGCGGCACAGAGTAGCCTACTCTGGGGCTCGGGAGAAAGAGGAGACGTGATCTATGGACACATTTTCACTTCATTGAAGTGGAGAACAAAACCAAATGCTTGATTTTAGTCGAAGGGAAGGAATATGGCCACATTATAGCTGGAAAAAACACAACCTGAAGAGACACGTCGCTGTTCAACACAAAGACAT